GGTCTCTTCTCCAGACTAACTACAGATAAGAGGAAATGGCCTCAAGTTGTGCCAGGGGTCGGTGTTGGGGCTGGTCCTCTTTAATATCTTTATCGATGATCTGGATGAGGGGATGGAGTGCACCCTCAGCAGATTTGCAGATGACACCAATCTGGGAGGAAGAGTTGATCTGCTAGAGGGTAGGAAGGTTCTACAGAGGGATCTGGACAGGCTGGATCAATGGGCTGAGACCAACCGTATGAGGTTCAAGATAGGCCAAGTGCCAGGTCCTGCACTTTGGTCACAACAACCCGATGCAGCGCTACAGGCTTGGGGAAGAGTGGCTGGAGAACTGCGCAGCAGAAAAGGATCTGGGGGTGTTGGTCGACAGACGGCTGAACATGAGTCAGCAGTTTGTCCAGGTGGCCAAGAAGGCCAACAGCATCCTGGCTTGTATCAGGAACAATGTAGCCAGCAGGACCAGGCAAGTGATCATCCCCCTGTACTCGGCGCTGGTGAGGCTGCACCTCGAATGCTGTATTCTGTTTTGGGCCCCTCACTACAAGAAGGACATGGAGGTGCTGGAGTGTGTCCAAAGAAGGGCAATGAAGCTGGTGAAGGGCCTGGAGCACAGACCTTATGAGGAGCAGTTGAGGGAGCTGGGGTTATTTAGTCTGGAGAAGAGGAGGCTCAGGGGAGACCTTATTGCTCTCCACAACTACCTGAAAGGAGGTTGTAGTGAGGTGGGGGTCAATCTCTTCTCCAGAATAACTACGGATAGGACAAGAGGAAATGGCCTCAAGTTCCACCAGGGGAGGTTCAGGTTAGATATTAGGAAAAATTTCTACATGGAAGGAGTGGTGAAGCATTGGAACAGGCTGCCCAGGGAAGTGGTGGAGTCGTCATCCCTGGCAGTGTTCAAGAAACATGTAGATCAGGCACTTAGGGACATGGTTTAACAGTCATGGTGTTGACAGGCTTACAGTTGGACTCGATCTTGAAGGTCTTTTCCAACTATTATGATTCTATATTTTCATCTCCTGTATCAGCCTCATAGGTCAACTGATGGAGTATGACTAGATAACTGGTCAGTTAGACGGGTTGAAAACTGTCTAATCTGCTGGGCTCAGAGGACTGTGATCAGTGGCATGAAGTCCATCTGGAGACCACTCACTAGTGGTGTCCCACAAGGATTAATACTGGGGCCAATACTGTTTAACTTGTCTCCTGAATGATGGGACAGAGTGCACCCTGAGGAAGTTGTAGGTGATACAAAACTGGAAGGAGTGGCTGATACACCAGAGGGTTGTACTGCCATTCAGATGGACCTTGACAGACTGACGAAGTGGGCAGACAGGGATCTCAAGTTCAACAAAGGGAAATGCCAAGTTTTGTGCCTGGGGAGGAATAACCCCATGCACCAGGGTAGGTGCTGACCTGCTTGAGAGCAACTTTGCCACATTAGCACATTGTTGGCTCATGTCCAACTTGTTGTCCACCAGGACCCCTGGGTCCTTTTCTGCAAAGAAGACCAACAACATTATGGACTGCTTTAGAAAGCATAACCAACAGGTCAAGAAAGGTTGTTATTCTCCTCAGCCCTGAGGAGGCCATCCCTGGAGTCCTGTGTCCAGGTCTGGGCTCCCCAGTACAAGAAAGACATGGACATACTGGAGTGAGTTTGGTGAAGAGCCACAAAGCTGATGAAGGGATTGGAACATCTGACCTTCAAGGAGAGACTGACAGAGCTGGGATTGTTCAGCCTGGAGAAGAGAAGGCTTGGGGGGAATCCTAGCAATGCGTATAAATACCTGATAGGAGGGTGTCAAGAAGACAGAGCCAGACTCTTTGCATTAATGCCCAGTGATAGGACAAGAGTCAGTGGGCACAAAGTGAAACACAGAAAGGTCCATCTGAACATAAGGAAAAACTTCTTTACTGTGAGGGTGTGGTCGGTTATATAGATATAGCAGTATGGCTTCGTGCTTGACATAAGCTGACTTGGCCTGACTTAGGCTTAGGGCCTGGCGCTCGGAAGATCTCGTGATGTTACGGAAAGCAAAGGGTTAACAGAAATTAAGGCGAGTCAGCTGTCTTTGCAGAATAAGTACCTAGCCATGTGGCGTGGCATTGTTGCTGATTGGTGGCAGAGCAAGCTTCCGCATTCTAAAGGAGTATAAATGTAGTGAGCAGTAAACAATAAACGGCACTCCAACCATATTGGTGTTACGTGGTTTGTCCCCTAGCGGGGTAGGATGGCCCCGGAGAGCCCGACCTCTGAGTGAACACGTTTTGTTGCTGGAGCCCGGAGACGGCTACGAGCTGAGACCGGAGACAGTGGCCGGCAACAGAGGGTGACTGAGCACTGGACCAGATTGCCCAAAGAGACTGTGGAGTCTCCATCCTTGGAGATATTCAAATCCCAACAGACATGGTTCTGAGCAACCTGCTCTAGGTGACTCTGCTTGAGCAGGGGGTTGGACTACATGATGTCCAGAGGTATCTTCCAACCTCAACCTTTTTATGATTCTATGAATTTACCAAGAATATGGATACAGAAGTTACTGAAAGGTTTACCTCCACAGGCTATTTAGTCTAGCTCCCCCTCCTTCCTACTCACAGCAAGACAAAATGTAATCATATCTCTAAAAAGCAAGGAAGGGGGATGGTATGTTTTGCATGTTATTTTAACTTGTGTGTATTCCTTATATACTAACAGTATTGTTTTATGTTTTGATTTTTGCAAGACAAAATTGTATTTAACTCCATCAATAAGCAAAGGCTGGCAAAGTTATAATGTAACAAGGTAAACTTTAAGGCAAAACCAAGGAGCTGAAATACACAGCCTGTCACAAGAGCCTCATTCAGTAGCAGTTACTAACCTTCAGTTATAATGAGCTGTACACATCGGAACTTATTGGACTCAGAGCTTTCCTAAAATTGCAGGAACTCTTAACTTGGCATTGCACCCTATAGTGGTAGTTTTGTTATGTTTATAAACTGTGTTAATCATAGACAACTAGCAAATCAGCATTGTCGACACGTTATGGGGGGGATATTAGGGAAAACATTTTAAGGGATAAAGCTTAAGGGAAACATTAGTCTGTATCTCTTTAAGACACCCTGTTGTATGGTTAATAATACTTGAATGAATTGTTTTATTAATTATGATAAAAATACTATAGAATCAAAATGTTTATGCTTATAATGATTATACAGCTAATGGAATATTTAGTGATTATGTAAACTATGAATAAAAATTGACAATGCCATAAGTTTAACTTCAGTATTGTCAGGGAGAGTAGTGTTCCAAAAGACTTATTGAACACCTACCTCAAAGCCACCTGCATGTCAATATGACTCACTGCTTCTGAGTACACGGCTGGGGTTGGTCTCCCTGCTGTTTTTCCAACTGTGTAACTATGAGTGAGTGTATGAGGGAATAAGTGAATGAAGATAGGTGCTATTAATAATAGCTTGATTCTATTAATAACAGCTTTATAAAACCTGTTATTAATCAGCATTGGTTGTCATCTGCTTCTTCCCCCAACTTGATCTCCTATCAGGGTAAAGGGAATCTACAATAAAATCTTTTCCTTGTGCTCATTCTAAGCCTCACACTCACCATTTTCACTTGACACCCTTCATCTCTTTCACTGAAGAAATTTTATTAGCTCCCTTTTCCATGCCATTGTATGTATACATTGTATGTATATATGCCACTGTACAGATCTTAATGGTATAGGTGAATAGTGGATTTATACAGAGGCACAGCAATGCTCTTGTTTAGCTCTCTATTCTTTTCCTAATAACTTCTAGCATGTGATTTTTTTTTTTGATCATCACTGAGCTGATATCTTTGTTTAATGCCAAAGCAGTCAACTCAGAGACCACCATCTTATATGTAAAGTTCAGATACATGTTTTCCCCAGCATGTATCTCTACATTTACCTGCATTGAATTTTAGGTATCATTTTATCACTTGGTCATCCAGTACTGTAAGGCCTCCTGCAACCTTTTATCACCGACTTTTATCTTCACTTTCTTGAATAACTTTATTGGTGCTAGTATCACCTCACTATTTAAACTCTTTTCCAGGTCATTCATGAATATGTCATAACTGACCATTATCACCTACCCTCTATATTCTTATCTCAAAATGATTATTCATACAGATAAAAATTGTCTCCCTATTCTCATCCCTTCTATTTATGCATCCAAAGCTATTCTATCTTTCTACTACAGCATTATGCTGGGAGCTTGTGTTGCCCTCTTCAAAGTTATCACTCCCAAACTGCATACACTCTGATTCTCTGAGTGTGACTTGCATCATGGATGTTCAACTTGACATTTCATGATACTTAAACCCATTTTATTTGGGTGGTCATAAATCACTAGTGATAATTTAAGCTCAATATGAATGCCTCATATTCAGCTCTATTATGTTTTGGGATTTTATTTTTTTTTAAGAAACTAACATCAGTAACCCAGAGACCCATTCAAACACTTGTTTATGCCTAAATGTTGCTACAGGTCTCTTGAACTGGAAAGCAAAGTTAATTCATCCTCCTCCTTAAATGTGCATATTCAGCCTCTCTACTCCAAATTACAGAATAAAAATGTATTGGGTATTTCTGTCTCTTCTGCATCATAACCATTTTCACAGCCTACACAGAGTAATATTAGATGCATAACCAACATGGCTAAACAAAATGTCCCTTTCAATAGCTTCAGCCTCCTTTACCTTCTAAATTTTTAATTACTATCAACTTGACATCTGCCATAAAAGTCCCATTTCATTAGTGGTACATTTTAAAATTTGCCTCCCTTTTTCCTCCTTTGGATCAAGAAAAAATATTTTTAAAGATAGAATATATATTTAAACATTTCTAATAAACTAACTATTTTCAAGTTATTGCAGTATAGGCCCGCATGATGGATGCTTTATGAACTTGGTTCTTTAGTCAGCTAATGACTTACGTGGAAGATGAAAACATTGCTGAAAAGCAGCTGTGTCATACCTTAAATCGCCATCTAGTAACAACTACAAACTTGAGTGTATGATCCTTGCCAAGAATCTCTTCATTGCATAATATATCCAGCTGAAGAAAAAAAGAATAACTAATTAATTCATTGAGAAACTGAACATCGATGAAACAATACACTTAAGATAAGGCCCAATAAAAAGATCAAGGAAACAAAATTCAAAATTCTCATGTAAAGACAGCTTTGTCCTTTGACATGCTA